CTCCCTGGGTAGCTGCAGGTCCGGTTCCCTGAGCCCGGTGGGACGTTGGCGCAGAACTTTGTCGAATTCGGGCCTTACCGCCTTCGCCCCCGCGTACCCAGGCTACCTTCGTCAGTCTTGGCCTATCTCAATTCCAGTGTATCCTTTATCTGCTGTGCCCCAGCTCCTGGAAGAAACGAAACTGGGTGTCAGGAGAAGTAACTTCCTTCTAGAATCAGAAACTTATTTCCCTTATCTGGAGAGAAACGAGAAAAAAGAGGGGAAAAAATGTAGAGAGATTTTGTAAAGATTTATTTAGATGAAAGGGATAATTGCCCTCGTCTTTTTTTTTTTCTTTCTGTTATTAAGTTCGTGACACCTGGGTGATTGTCTAGTTAGGAAAGTGGTGGTGTGATTGCTTAAAAGTTTTGTTTTTTTTTAAACACCTTCCTATAAGTAGTCAGCATTCCATTAGCCCCTCAAATCTAAATACTCATAACTCGTTTGATACTGAACTTCAGAGGGATGAGTTGTTCGATAACATAATGAAGCCAGCGTCTATAACCCAGTTTCCTAGATTCTGGGAGTAAGTGCTGTTTCCCGACAGCCTCTTAGCTTTTGCCTTTGGGCTGTGCAGTGTGTGTTTGTCTTCCATCATTTTCTAGCTGTAGTAACCTGTCTGATCCAGGGTTTCCATGTATGTGAAACCATATATGTAAAATGGTAGCAGTAGTGTTCAGTTTGACATATGTGAAGCTCTGAAGTGTCACTAAGGTGCAGTTACTCTCATACTACATGCAAGTAAATATGTTGATCAACTGTAGACTGTTGTTTTCTTTTAATCATATCTTGCTTGGACAACTAATTAAATATACTTTTTTTTTAACCTCTTAAACCAAACACTTTGAATTTTTGTTTTGTGAGGTGGAGTCTCACTATGCAGCTCTGACTGGTTTGGAACTATGGACCAGGCTGGCCTCCAATTCGTGGAGAGCCACCTGCCTCTGCCTTAGGTGTTCATCACCATGCCTTAGTGAAATGTTTTATTTATTTTATTATTTTCTTTGCTATCTTAAAGTTAAGGCACAGGTTGAATATCCTTTATCTAAAATATTTAGAAATACAAGGCTAAACACAATTTATGCATGTATCATGTATATCTTGTATTTTCATGTATATATATATATACATGTGTATTTATATTTTCTGTGTGCCTGTGTTTTGACTGTCATCCATCACATGAGATTAGGCATTGATCCACTAGTGACATGAAGTTAGAGCTCACAGGTTTTGGATTTTGGAGCATTTGGAGTTTGTATTTTTGGATCAGAGATGTTTGTAGTCAGCTTGTAGATCAAACTTGTAGTGAGGTTTTGGTTGAGACTTAGAAGTAAGTGTGTATATTTACGGAATGATAAATACACTGAATATTCTTTGCCAAAGCTAATACTGCTTCAGATACTCCAGTTCCAAATCACTTTATGAAATGTGCTTTTCTTGAACTCTTACTTTCAGACTTATAATTTTGTGTGACTTTTAGGTCCATACCTCCACCATGCTTTCCTGTGACATATGTGGTGAAACAGTAACCTCAGAACCAGACATGAAGGCTCACCTAGTGGTTCACATGGAAAGCGAAGTTACATGTCCATTTTGCAAGTTGTCAGGTATAAATTATGATGAGATGTGTTTTCATATTGAAACTGCTCATTTTGAGCAGAATACACCAGAAAGAAACTTTGAGAGGCTAAATGCAATACAGTATGAAAACCCGGACAGCAAGAATACCACCCTGCAGAGTACAACGGAGGTTAATTCAAGTATTCATTCAGCTTGTGCATCAAATTTTCCAAAAAATTCATCCCACCATCTTCCTAAAGATGGGACTTTAAAACATGAAGCTTTTCATACAGAGAGCATAACTGAATCTAGAAAGTGCCTGAAAAGCCCGGAAAAGCAGTCTGGATTGTCTGTGGTACAAGGATCAATTTATGAAACCACGTACAGTCCTCCTGAATGTCCATTTTGTGGGAAAATAGAAGAGCGAAGTCAAGATATGGAGATGCACGTAAAAACAGAGCACGCCAGTCTCTTAGAAACTCCACCAGAAGGTAAAGTGCTCAATGTATTTAATTGTAATAAAAGCAATAGTCTCAGTTTAATCTTTGGCATCAAGTTAGCTTGCTAACTGGTAAAAATGTGCTTCTAAGATTCAGTTTCTGACCTATCTTATTCAGGTCACCATGTGTGTCCCAGATAACAAGGTCAGGTCATTAGGCTTAGTGGCTAGCACCTTTATCTACTGACCCATCTCACTTGCTCCTGTGGCAGAATATAAATTTAAGATGTGTTACATTCTTTTATGTTGTGGAACATTTTTTTTTAATGATACAAAGATGGGTTCCATTTGTTTGATTGATGAAATTAACTTGGGGTCAGGAGACTCAGCAACTAGCTGACAGGAAGTGGTAGGGGGGAACCTTGTGCATTCTTAAGTGGGGGCTGAGCACAAGGACGTGCTGTTTGGGGGGAGACTTGAGCTAGGAGAAAAGGTTGGTTAATTGCTATCCAGCCTCTCTGAATGAGCAGAATTTCACCTCAGCCTTTGAATCTATCTAGAAGGATAGAGATCTAGATAAAGTCCCCTTTAGCTGCCATGATAGAGCCAGTGCTCAAGGAAACAGAATTCCTGCTTGGGGCCAAATGGCTACAGTTAGTTGCTGATAAGGACAGCAATTGCTTAAGGGGCAGCTACTGAATTTAATGATAAACAACATGCCCCCAGAGAAGTAGTTTTCCAATACAACTATAAAGTGCTTTTGTTTTTGCAGTAAGGTTAGGAAGTAGTAGAAAGTCTTTGATGTTTTGTTTGTTTCTTGAGGCAGGGTCTCAGTGTATAGCCTTGGCAGGCCTGGAAATTGATGTGTGGATCAGGCTGACTTTAACTTACAGAAATCTGATTGCCTCTGCCTCCTGAGTGCCATGGTTAAAATTGTTCACCACTATGCCTGGTGACATGGTTTAATGCTAACTACAAAAACACTCTACTCATAAAGTGTACACAGTCCTTGGCATGGGGTGAAAAGTTTAAAAGTTCTACAAATAAAAAAAGCCTTTCTACATCTCTAATACAGACTGTCATCAACCACTCTATGACTGTCCCATGTGTGGGCTCATCTGTACAAATTACCATATTCTCCAGGAACACGTGGACTTGCATTTAGATGAAAGCAGCTTTCAGCAAGGTATGTTTATGTCTAAAAGTGTTTTCATTTCTACTTCTAGAACACACATGTCTTTTAGGTTAGGGATACGATGAAAAAGTCACCCTGTTTAGAAGTGAATCTGTTCTTTAAATAATCCCCGGGTAGCTGCACCGCTTTCCTTGAAGTCTTACTGAGAAATTGTAAAGGATGAACTGTGGAGACAGCATCCAAACCAAGGTTAGACATCGTGGGTTTGGCTTGACATGTAGAGAATACACCATTTAAGACAGTGCTTTTTTAAAAAGTGCTTTTTTGCCATTTAAAAGTTTCTCTTGACAAGTTGGGGCCATGCTTTCATTGGTTTGAAGTAATGAAGTTAACCTTTAGCCAGCAAGATTTTCCAACTAAGAAGCTGCCACTTTAAAAAACTAGGTGAATTTATGTGACTCTTGTAACTATTGTGTGACAAAACTTTTCGGGGCAGGGTGGAGGTGGGGAAGCAGCACACATGTCTGCTTACCTCAGATAGGAAACCTGTGACAGACCAAAGTACTAATACTACCTAAGTTCAGTTTGGTCAATGAATTTTATTGGGGCTACTTATAGGAGTTTGAGTGAGGAGTTACTTATGAGAGCAGAAATGATAGAGCCTCATTGTGTAGCTCTGGCTATGTGTAATATCGGGCTAGAACTCACAGAGCGCCCCTTGCCTCTGTCTCCCATGTGCTGGGATTAAAGGCGTGCACTGCCATGCTCAGTGTACAGGTCAATTTTATGGAGACATTTTCTCAATTGAGAGTCCCTCTTTCCAAATGACTGTAGCTTGTGTCAAGTTGACATAAAACTAGCCACCACCTCTATCTTCCTTTGCAGAAGGTAGTAAGGGAATGCTGTGGGAGGGTAACCTTTTAGAAGCTGAATATCTGCTGATTCTTACTTTGTGGGTAGGCTTTGTGATGGTGCATATATTCTGTAAACCAGTGCAGAGAGTCTCAGGGCATGCTAAAAATCAGTTATGAGTTACATACCCAAGAACATAAGGGAGAATCAAATAGAAAGGTATAACAACTAGGAGGCTTGGAAGAGAGAATATTCAGTTTTGGAGTTAAATCATCAGGTTTGTGGATTGTAATGTCTCTGGATTGAGGAATACCTAGAAGATTCCTTAGCTATTCTGGGGTGTCTCTGTGTGTTTCCAAGGAACACTCATGTGTGTAACGATAAGTCTTTCCACCAGCCGCCTGGTTCCACCCGCCATCGAGTTAGGGCCCCAAGTAACACACAGATATTAATGTTAGGTACAGTGCTGCTGGCCAATGACTAGGATTTCTTATTTGCTAGCTGAGTCTTAATTATCAACTATAACTATTAAACTATATATTTTATAAACTTATTGAGGACACAGGTGGCAAGTGTCCTGTCTTCTGGGGCTCACATGACGACTCTCTCTCTACTACATTTCCCAAAATCCTCATCGACTCCTAGTCCTACCTATCTTGCTTTCCTATTAGCCAACAGTGCTTTATTCATCAGCCAATAAGATGCCCCCCATCATGTGTATATGGGCAAACTGAATGGAGAAGATCTATATTCAATGTGGACAGGTAGCATTCAATTCAGCCAAGATTCTAGATGGACCAGGACAGTTGAAGAAGGGGCAAACTCATTTTGGCTCTTCCTTCAGGATTGGGACTTGTGTTTTCTACTGTTGCTCTTTGCCTTTAGACTGCAGAGTATTTGGCCTTTGGACTCTGGGACTGTTGTGAGCATCCCAACAGAAATCTTGAGCCTTTGACCTCAGACTTGGATCTCTGTCCATCACAAACTGCTCACTCTGGCTCTGTGTGTGTGTGTGTCTGTGTGTCTGTGTGTGTCTGTGTGTCTGTGTCTGTGTGTGGTGTTTTTGTCTCTCTGTCTCTCTCTGTGTGTCTTGCTCTGGCTCTTGCTCTGTGTGTCTGTGTGTGGTGTTTCTATCTTGCCCTTGGTCCTGTTTTTACTGGAGAACCCTGAAGAATAAAGGAATCTAAGAAACAAGATACCATACAGATACCACTGTTAAAAGAATCTGAGTTTCACTGGGAGACATGAAGCAAGTCATTACACTGTAAAATTATTTCTCCTTTTTGGGTAAAACTATAATGAAACAGTTGGAGATAGTGAAGGTATACTTTGTACTCTTTATTACTTTCTTCTCATTTGTTTCAAAAAGGAATCTCCATTAGTTGTATTCAGAGGCATCAATGAAAAGTGCCACTTAACCTTTCTTTTTTTTTTTCCTCAGCAGATAATACTTCATAAAGTTGTCAGGAAGAACAAGTCAATTAGTTAATGAGGAGAGCTTGTGGCAGCCTAAGTACTGAGTGAATATTGCTTGTTTCTCTCTAATAGGCATGGACAGAGTCCAGTGCTCTGGTGATAGAGAATTAGCTGAGCAGCTTCAGCAAGAAGAAGACAGGAAGAGGAAATCTGAGGAATCAAGGCAAGAAAGGGAAGAGTTCCAGAAGTTGCAGGTACAGAGATCAGTAACAGTTTTATTGAGTAGAGTTCTTATTTCCCATATATGCTTTTTTGGGGGTGGGGAGGCAAAAACACTTAAAAGTAGCTATTTTCCAAAGCCAGAGAGCTGGCTTAGTTATTAGGAGTGCTTGCTTCGCCAATAGATGACTTGAGTTCATTTCCCAGCCCCTACTTCAGGCCGCTTAGAACTGTTTATAATTTCAGCTACACACACACACACACACACACACACACACACACACACAGCCATTCTTGACTGTGCATGTGGCACATGCCTTTAATCCCAGCATTAGGGAAAAAGAGGAAGGTAAATGAATCTTTTAAGTTTGAGGCCAACCTGGAACCCATCAAAAAACAAAGCAAAACAAAAAACAATGTAGCAGTCTATTCAGATACTGGAATAATCATTTCAGATAAAATATGTGAAAAATTTCCACAGAAAACACACAGGGTTTTGTTTTCATTTTTCTTTCTTTCCTGTGTTTAGATGAAGAACAAAAATAAAGTGTTTGTGATTTGCCCTGGGTTAGACAACTGTTAGGTAGAAAAGGATACATGTAAAAATATGCAAATGACAGGCAGATTGTAAAACTATACCGAGACTCTGCCTGTCTGTTTACTTAAAATTATTGTGTATCTCTCCTTAGTTTTGTTTTTGTTTTTATTTTTTGGGTTTTTGTTGTTGTTTGAGACAGGGTTTCACTGTTTAGCTCTGTCTGTCCTGGAATTCGCTTTTTAGACAAGGCTGGCCTCAAACTCGAAAAGATCCACCTGCCTCTGCCTCCCAAGTGCTGGGATTAAAGGCGTGCATCACCACTGCCTGGCTGTGGACTGGAGGGATGGCCCAGAGGTTAAGAGCAGTGGTTACTATTCTAGAGGACGCAGGTTTAGCATGGCTGCTCACAATTTCAGACATTTTTATATAACGAACATTCAGAGGTTGGTGTTTCATGATGTTTTAGGACACATTTTCCTATTGTGAACAAAGTATCTATTGGATTAAACTTGCAGCATCTGAGGGTTTTTAATGCTTTAAAAATTTTAATAGATGTTTCTCCTTTTTATTTCTAATTTGTGAACTGTGTCTGGTTTTTTTGTACTGAAAATGCTTGTAGCGTTTTTAAATGCTTTTTGTATGTGTTAATAGAATATTATAAAGAGTTATAGTGAATAGATTTGAAAATGTTCCTAGATTTACATATATCTGAAAGCGGCCTTTTTTCTCAGACATCTTACACATGACTATTTTTGCTTGAAATGTGTTTTGGAATGTCTAATTTAAGATTCTTACCACCTCACAATTTCACTAGTTATTCATTTCTTTGCAAAATGTTTTTCATATCAGAATTCAGACTAGTGTGAAAAAGTGTTTTTTTTTTCTAAGTCTTTTTTGCCATATATACTAGATCTACAGCACTACAGCCATAGTTGTCTATAGAAACAATTTAAGGGAGGGCTGACTTATTTGGACTCATAGTTCCAGTCCATTATGGTGGAAAACACATGGAAAGGCCATTCACATGACAGTGGACCAGGAAGCTGATTGTATGACAGCAATCCAGCCTGTATCACAACTTCCCACACATCCACAACCTCCCCAAATAGCACCTTGGTCTGGGACACGGGTATTCAAAACATGGCCTGTTGTTTCCTGTTTGAAATGTGACACCATAAAAAAGACCAATGTCTTCTGAATATCAACAATAAGAAAGTCCCTGGCATTTAAAGAGGGCTGTTACTGTGTTAGTTACTTGTTGCTGTGACCAGACACCTGACAAGAAGCAACATAAAGGAGGGAGTGTTTGTTTGCCTTACAGTATGAGGGGATGTAATCTTTTATAGGGTGGACATGACAGGGGGGATGGGAAGTAGATGGTTACACTGCGTCCACAGTTAAGGAAACAACACAGTGTTACAGGTCTCAGTTCACTTTGTCCTTTTCTTTCAGTCTGCAACTCCAGCCCATGGGATGGTGCAGTACACATTCAAAATGGGTCTCCCACTTGAATTAACCAAATCTATAGGCTCTCTCACATTAAGTCCCCAGGGTTTGTTTTAATGTTGATTGTTGCTTTTATTTATTTATTTGTGTGTGTGTCTGTGTGTCTCTCTCTGTGTATGTCTATGTGTGTGTGTGTGTCTCTGTGTCTGAGTGTCTCTGTGTGTGTGCCTGTGTGTGTGTGTGTGTGTGTGTATGTGTGAGTGTGAGTGTGAGTGTTCCTGTGCCCAGTGACATAGAAAGAACAACTATGGGGAATCAGCTTTCCTCCACTAGGGGTTTCAGAGGTCTAACTCAGGTCACCGGCCTTGCATGGCAAACACTTTTACCCAATGAGCCCCCCCCCCCAGCTGTAAATGGGACTGTAAATCTCATCAAGTTGACAGTCAAAATAAACCATTGCAACTCTGCCATTTGTCAGCCTGACGTTCACACACACCGATTTTAAATTGTAGTTTTCCACTCTTTGTCTCTTGTGACTGTCCATCATGGACAAAAGCATTCAGTTCAACCTCATAAGTCCCCATAGTCTTTAATGTCAGCACCACTGGAAAGTATGATTATGGAGTGAAGGTACTGTCTTAACTGTAAATTCCTATAACATTAAAAAAAAAAATTCATGCTGTCTCACAATGTACAATGCATTCTCTTTGACTTCCAAAGATCTCATAGTCTCTAGTACAGTACTGTTCAAAGGTGTAAGTGCAGAGTGTTTTGTGATGCTCATGTAGTGTTTTTATTGTAAGCCTCTATAATATTACAAAACAAGTTTAATACTTCTACCATGTGGTGATAGAGTGAATATTCTGATTCCAAAAAGGAAGAATGGGGACATAGCAAAAGAAATATCAGACCAAAGCAAAATGCAATCCAGCAGACCAAGTACCAAATCCTTCAGCTCTGTGGTAGGCATCTGGTATTTGTGATGGTATCACTGGATTCCAGAGGGCTTGGGTAGTCCTGCCTCTCCAGCTCTGCTGCCTGTAACACAAATAGCCTTTCTTTTGGGCCATTTCACTCTGCCTATAGCTTTCCTCAGTAGATGTCTCATGGTTCTGTCATCTCCAGCATCCTAGGATCACTATTACAACTTGTGCTTTACCTTCACAGCTTTAGTCACTGACCGCTTGGGGCTTCCTTGCTGGGACTTTGCTGTGCAAGGACCCTGCCGCACATTCATGGCTTCAGTGGCTTTCTAGAGCCATGGTGCAAGACCCAATGAGTCTTACATTGTTCATGCCTGCAAAATTAGTACCACTTTGACAACACTCAAATTCTATTACTTTCTTTCAATGAAGCCTTGCCCTTTGGAGCATAGTTGCCTTTGACCTTGTGTGCCAACCATGACAAAACACTTTCCTACACCACAGTTTTTGATTATGAAACTGGTCATTGGTATTCTCAGCTTAGGCACCCTCCTTTCAAATGAATTGCCTCTTTCATTAGATTGAGCCTTTAGTGGATAAAATTAAGGCTCCTTTCCTGATGTTGCAGGGCACATTTCTCTCTTTTGTGCTGATCTGTTTAACAATCTTCTTAGTCACTGATCTATTGCTGTGAAGAGACACCATACCAAGGAAACTCTTATGAAAGAAAGCATCTAATTTGGGGCCTTGTTTACAGTTTCATAGGGTTAGTCCATTATCATGGTAGGGAGCATGGCAGCAGGGAGGAAGACATCGTGCTAAGAAGGGAGCTGGGAATTCATCTTGATCAGCAGGCAGAGGGAAAGAGCCTAGGCCTGGCACAGACCTCAAAGTGTACCTCAAGTGACACACTTCTTCAATAAAGCCATGCCTACTCCAACAAGACTATACTTCATCCTTCACAAATAGTTCTACTAACTGGAGACCAAGTCTTCCAACATAGAGCCTATAGGGACCATGCAGATTCAGATCACCACACAATTGCTGCTGCTTTAAGAAATAAAAATTATTTGTGGGTGTGAGTGTACATATGCCATGGCAAGCCTGTGGAAGTTAGAGGAAAACTTCTAAGAGTTGGTTCTCTCCTTCCAACATGTAGGTCTCAGGGTTTGAAGTCAGGTAATCAGGTTTCAGAAGCAAATGTCTTCACCCACAGAGCTATCTCACCTGCAGGGACAGGTGAACGACTTTATCCTTTTTATTCAGTCTGTGAATAACCCTATGTGATAGTGTCATATTTAGGATGGTTTCCTATCTCTGTTAGCTCAAAATAGACTACTTCACAGACATACCCTAAAGTGTGCCTATGGTCATTTTAAGTCACTTCAACCCTGGTAATCAAGATTAACCATGACAAAGCTGTAACTTGTAAGTTGTTTACATCTTAGGAAGCTTATCCATAAATGCAGTTTATGCATTTGAGTCTCTCAGTCCATTTTGCAAAGACAGCTCATTTTCTCTGTAGCATGATTGATATGTAGACTAAGTAGGCCTTTGTGGATTAGTGTTGGGACAAAATAGCAAGTTCCTGTAAGTTCCCATAACCAGCAGTATCTTTAGAATTTTGCCTTTTATAGTACCTTTAGTAGAAAGAGGAGTCTTTCATTTCTATTCTACAAGGAAAGCAACTAATTATTTGTAAGAGCTACAAAAGCTTACAGAGAAATATCTAATTATTAAGTTATGGATGTATGATTTAATTTCCATAAAAATCTTTGCTTGTATGAAAAATACATACACCAAACTATTTCAATATACATTTTCAAAAAATAAAAGTTGAAAGTTCCATTTGATTGAAGTACGGGGGCATAAAAATAAGTTATTTGTTTTTATGTTCACTAGCGGCAGTATGGTTTAGATAATTCTGGAGGATACAAACAACAGCAGCTACGGCATATGGAGATAGAAGTAAATAGGGGAAGAATGCATCCATCTGAATTTCATAGCAGAAAAGCTGACATGATGGAATCAATAGCTATTGGTATTGATGATGGAAAAACAAAAACTTCTGGTGAGTGCTTAAACATCCAAGCTGCAGTTTTAATATTGCATATACCACTGGAATGATAAAATCACATGAATTTGCTGAATTTTTCAGTCAACGGTTTATATAGTTTGAGGTGAGATCGTGTGTTCACATATTTTTTACAAAAGTTTTAAAACGAAACTTCTATTTTTATAGTAAATAATTCACTTAAAGTAATTTAGTTCTCTTGTATTAACTAACAGCAATGGAAATGAATCATTAGGGTTTTTTTTTACACTTTATTAGCATATGTTAATTATATATAATATTGTTTCATTATGATATTTTCATACAGGTATGTAATATATTTTGGTCATATTCGCCACTACCATCCCATTACCCTAGTTGTCCTCCTACTCCTATTGCTCCCTTTTTTCCTCTTCCAGCCAGTGTCTTCCCTTGGCCCCTCCCACATCCACATCCATGTGCTTTTTTGTTTATGTTTATTTAGTTTTGTTTAAAGTTTACTTATAGGAACATAGATGAGGGGTTATTTACACAAGAGGAGGGGAGGGACCTTATGAGCTCCCATCTAGAAATAGTTTAATGTCTGTAAATCCTCAGGGATGGGTGGGTCCTTGTGAACACCTCTTTCCTCTATGAGAGAGTGTTGGCAAGCACAGAACTGTTCAGATAGTCCTGCTGCTTGTTTGAAAGCCAGCAGACCTGCCATGCCCGGAAGACAGCTCTGATGTTTTTCAACCCCCTCTTCCTTGATGTTTCCTGAGCCTTGGAGGGGTTGATATAAATACCCCATTTAGGACTAAATATCAAATACTCATTTATTCTCACTCAGTTCTTTGACTGGTTACTGACACCCATTATCAAACACTAATATATGGATGTAAATCTAAACATTTAGAAAACAGTTTGATAGACACATCATTTCAGTTTGGCAAAACTGTAGTAGCTTTCCTACTTGGGACCATGAGTTACCTACCCAGGAGGATTTTGACAGTGTTTACAGTACCAGACTAGACATCCCTCTTATAGATCCACCTTTAATCCAGTCAGAAAGTGCTTGGTTACCCCAAAGCAATTATGTCACTGAACCTTTAGCTTAAATTATTGGTTGTTTGAATTCATTACAAAAACATAATATAAGCCACCTGCAAAATTTTACATCTCTTTAGAGCCTCCTCCATCTGAGTCATCCTGACCCTTCATGTTCCCGTCCTCCATCCCCTCCACTCTACCCTCTCCAGCCTCCAGGTTACTTAGGAGATTTCATCTGTTTCCCCTTATTTTAAATATATATTACGGGTGTGGGAATTTCACCTGCATGTGTGTCTGTGCACTGCTTAGATGCCTGGTGCCCATGTAAGCCCAATTTTGCATCACATACTCTAGAACTGGATTTACAGATGGTTTTAACCACTACATAGGTGCTGGGAATTGAACCTGGTTCCTCTGGAAGAGTAGCTGTGAAACAGCTTTACAGTCCCTATATTTTTAATCTACCTAGTATTTATTTATTAAGGGGTTGGGGCTGGGGATGGAAGGAAAGGTGGGGATCTGGAGTTTTCTCCTCATTTCTAACAGTGTTGCATTTGTAGTACTTATATATGACAGAACCAGTTTTTCTGGCACCACTTATTGAATCTGTTTTCCCTCTACAAAGGTGTGGGACCCCTGGAGTTTGTGTCACGGGTGGTTTTGAACTGCCCAGGGTGGGCACTAGGAACTGAACTCGAGTCTTACAAGAGTAGCAAGTGTCCTTTTCTACTGAACCTCTCCAGCCCCATGGCATAATTTTTAATTTTTGTTGTTAGTTATACAAGTGTCTATTAGAGCAGTCATTATTTAATACCCCCTTATTTATTTACAGCCTTGTTATTTTTAACATAATTTAACAAAAGGTAATTTTTTTTGAAAACATCTAAGGAAATTTAGGAATAAAAAATACTTGTCATAAGAAGAAAAAATGTCTTTAATGTGGTTGTGTGATATCATTGCTAAGACAAAGGTTACCAGGAAATGAGGTGTTTCTGTCTTACATGTGACAAGTATGCCATAGTATACTCAAATACATATTAGTTTATTCTTATAGGTTTTCCCTTTTTCTTGAACTCATCTGAGTCAAGATTTATCTTTCTGCTGCTAGAGTGCCTGTCCCACGTATAAACTGTTGCATGCCAGGTCATCATTTTCCCCCTTGTATAAAGTTAGTACTCAGCCACAAGTCATTTTCATTGTTCTTTTTCTTGAATGTGGGTCTCGTTTAGTTTTTTTTTTTAATTTATAATTAATTTCTGTTCTTCGTGATAGTGGACATATCCATAGCTATTGGTTAAATGGTTGTTTTGATTTATTGTTTTTTTTTTAATTTGTCTCCCCAAAGACATGTTTCCATGTATTTCATTCAAATAAAATATATATGACTTTTCTTTTTTTTTGTGCCACATACCATGAGAAAGCATGAACTACACAAAAGACATCACTGCCCATTAGCTTCAGAGTTTTTGAAGAAGGCAAAGATATACACAGAGAACTGTAATGTTCCGCTATGACAAAGTGTGACTAGACAAGTAGGGGTCATGAAAGAAATAAATGCACCGAGTGCTTTTAAGAGACAGACAAAAGTAACTTGAAGATAATGTTTGGTCCTTACAAGATTTTTATGATTCTAAGTGGAAGAAGAATATTCTAAAAGGAAGAATCAGATGTAAACTTGTCTGAATATTTTGCTTAACCAAATTCTAGCACCACAGTCTAGGATCGTATTTCTAGGGCTATTGTACCAGGCTTTGCAGTTGAAGAGCTTAAAGATGCAGACAACTCCAGGTCAATGCAGGGAGTATTATTTGAGTGTCAGAAAACTTGGGTTGTGGGGACAGTGAGAACATGAGCTAAGGAGCTGTGGAGCGTGATGATGTTAGTCATAAACAGCTATGTAATGGTGACAGTGAATTTTTCTAAGTATCCTAAATCTCTTCTATTTTAGGAATTATTGAAGCTCTCCATAGATATTACCAGAACATTGCCACAGATGTGAGGTGCGTGTGGCTCTCTACAATGGTTGATCACTTTCATTCATCTTTTGGGGACAAAGGTTGGGGTTGTGGTTACAGAAATTTCCAGATGCTACTTTCATCATTGCTACAAAATGATGTGTATGGTGACTGCTTGAAAGGTAGGTAAAATACTGTTATCATCTTTGATTATGATATACAAAGGGTATCATGAATAAGTGTCTTAGAAACTCTTATGGGTTCTTAATAGAGGATATGTTACTATGTCACAGTATTGCTCAGTGCATTAGTACCTGGCTTATGACTTGTTTGCTTATGTAATTTCAGGTATGTCAATTCCTTGTATTCCAAAAATTCAGTCCATGATTGAAGATGCATGGAAGGAAGGTTTTGATCCTCAGGGAGCCTGTCAACTTAATAACAAGTTACAGGGAACAAAGGCCTGGATTGGAGCATGTGAGATTTATACACTTCTGACCTCACTGAGAGTAAAGTATGTACCTGTAAACTCCAGTTAATATTATTGTACTTATTTGCAAATTACCAACATTAAATTTAGTATGACTAAAGTTAACTGCCTTAGCTATGTTTCCCATGCAGTAATAAAATATGCTGACCAAAGCAACACAAGTGAGAAAGGGTTTATTTTAGCTTATGTTTCAAAGGATACAGTTCATCGTGGTAGGGAAATGGGGAAGGTGTAGTGGCGGACAGTAGACTGGCTGTCACATTGTGTCAGCAGTTAGGAAGCAAACATAATAGGGAATGGGAACCTACTGTAAAGGTTTAGGCCTTGCCTTCAGTGATCTGTGTCTCCAGCAAGTCTCCTCCTCCTAGAGTTTCTATGACTTTCCCAAAAGCAGCTGAGGACCAACCTTAATGGGAGCCTCCAAGAGACATTTCACATTCAAACTGTGGCAGCAACCATTAACGGTTTTGAATATTTTTGAGATTTCATTGCCATAGAGACGAGAATGCATAGTTTATGCTAGAATTTAAAATAACCAAGCTATTAAATGCTTTTGGTTATACTTTATAAAAATTTTTTGAGTAACATAGAAGTGAACCTACTTCTACAATCTCATTTATTCAAGATGATTCCATTTAAAGGAAGTTTACCACCATAGTCTGGAGCCAAACTGGAGCTATGTGGAGTCTCACATGTTTTCTTGTGCTCTTCACCAGTAGTGTCTGGAACTGGAACTGAAGAAAACTGAATGTATATTTATTCATGTTTAGAAGAACATATTTAGGATGCTTTTGATGTAAAGAGATGACTACTACTGAAGATTAAAATCGGAATTCATATTCTTTTTTTTCTTTTAATAAAGATATATAAACCATACTGATTGACTTTTTAATCTGTTTCTCTATTTACACTGTTATAAATTATCTGAGTAGAAAAAATCCTACAAGAAGTAAGTTTTCTTTAAAAGAAAACAAAAACCTTAAAGCTTATTATTTTATTGTCTTTAAGTTATGTGTGTACATGCATGTTTGTGTATAAGTGCACATGTGTGTAAGTGCACATGTGTGTAAGTGCCTTTGGATCCCTGAGAGCTGGAGTTGACAGCCAGTTGTGACCAAATGTGGGTCTTCTGCCAGAGTGGTGTGTGCTTGTAACCACTGAGCCAGGCCCCTGATTTTGTATTATTGTGCATGTGCTGGAGTATGCATGTGGAGGTCTTAAGACAAATGTGTGGAGTTGGTCTCCTTCCACCTTGATGTGGGTTCCAGGTGTTGAACTCAGGCCACCAGGCTTGCATAGCAAGCTCTTTTACCCATTGTTCCATCTCGCCACCCCAAAGTCAGGTTCTAGTTGATCATCAGGGATAGAGACATTAGAATAAAAGTGAGTATGTCCCAGGCATACATGGGGTTTAAAAGTCCAGCATGGTCCTTATTTGCTGTTCAGGGAGACTTTTTACATTAGGAAATCTTTGTAATTTTTAGCTCATTCATCAGTCTTATTGTGAGTGGTGATTTGAGTATATTCCCCACAAAATGATAGTTTTTCTATATAAAGAGTAAAAATTTATGTTTACTTTTTCCTCCATAGAAAAATAATGGATTCATAAATTTGTTCTGAAATAAGATGGGGGGGTGTTGGGATAACTATATTTATGCAAATATTGTCTCTAAATTATCTGCTTTGTCAATTGTTTAGGTGCCGCATTATTGATTTCCATAAGTCAACTGGTCCTTCTGGTACACACCCTCGCTTATTTGAATGGATATTGAACTATTATTCTTCAGAGAGGGAAGGGAATTCAAAGGTTGTGTGTACATCTAAACCTCCTGTCTATCTCCAGCATCAGGGTTAGTAGATCTCACGAAAAACTGACATTTTTAAGATAGCAGATTGACTATTGCTTAAGGACAGGTCAAGATTGTAATAGTAGAGGTGGTGGGGTGGAGGGCTATTGTGACTGGTGACTGATCATCACAGCTAATTGCCATTCTGGTATGTTCTTGGGTGATGCAGCATCTTGGAACCTTTGCATTTCTGGTCTTTTTCTGGTTCACTGATCTCACCATTCATCACTTGTCTCCTTGCAGTCTTTACTGAAGGCTTTCTAGACTGCATTTACTTAAAAGTGCAAGTGTGTGTATGTGTGTGTGTCTCGGGCGCACTAAACAGAAGCCCATGCAGAGGCTACATATATAACTGTGTATAGATGTGATGTATTAACTGCTATTTATCCTTTGACTAGGTCACAGTCGAACAATTGTTGGAATTGAAGAGAGAAAAAACCGAACATTATGTTTACTAGTATTTGATCCTGGATGTCCTTCCCGAGAAATGCAGAAACTGTTAAAGCAAGACATAGAGGCTGGTAGTCTTAGGCAGCTACGGAAATCTGTGGGAAATCTAAAACACAAGCAATACCAGATTGTAGCAGTAGAGGGCGTTCTTTCACCAGAGGAGAAAGTTGTAAGTATCAGTATTGGTTGAAGTAGTTTAAATTTTTTAGATAAAATCAGGATTTTCTCTTTTTATCTCCTCACAACTCATTCTATTTCATGAAATGGCAAACACATTTAGTTTTGATATCACTGAGTTTCTAGAATGGCCATTTTAAAATTTATATGACACCTAAATGTCTTGCTTAACCTAGCTGGGGTGGGTTCTGGGAAATTCATTTGGGCCTCCTGCAAGAGCACTATGTCCCCATAACTGTTGAGCACGTTTCCAGCCTAAGGTCTGGAAATTTTATGAGGAAATTAAAAAGAGCACTTATTTGAGTATCTCACATTGTTTCCCTCTAAACACGAGACAGAATGCTCCAGAGGGACATAGAGAAGAACAGGATCAAGGAGAAAGGAGGAACATTTAAAACAGGAGCTGGCCAACCTCAGCTTCTTACCTACAAATAGAAAGACAAGGTCTGCTTACTAGGTTACTCAGTTTAATTAGGCTTAAAAGATTTCTTTGCAATGTCTTTAATCCCCGATCGCAAAAAAAACAGAGCTGAGAGTGGGTTGGAAACAGAACAGGGTGGAGGTGGTGAAAATAGTCAGAATGCATTGTATACATGTGTGAAATATTGACAAGAAAAGAAAAATAATTTAGTAAAACTTATTTAAAAGTACCAGAACTAGGGCTGGAGAGATGGCTAGATTCCTTCAAGAGGCTACACAGGGCCCAGCGCTGGATGAACAGAACTGCAGGTCTGACTTCACCACTCATTGTAAGCATCCGCATTCATAACATGGGAACAATAACCAAGTATTTACCCACTTTCCAAAACTACAAACAGAAAAGCCAGTTAACATGTTGTTCACCTAAGCCCGGCGATAGTGGTGCATGCCTTTAATCCCAGCACTCCGGAGGCAGAGGCAGATACAGGCAGATCTCTGTGAGTTCCAGACCAACCTGGTCTACAAGAGCTAGTTCCAGGACAGCCTCCAAACCCACAGAGAAATCCTGTCTTGAAACTCCCTCCAACCTCCTCTCCCCCCCAAAAAACCATGTTATTCACCTGGAGCCCATGACAACACCTGATCGCCACTTTATAGTCTCAAATGTTATTGTTACTGTGCACTGATAAGCAAGCATCTGCACAAACTAGTAATAGGATTAAAAAGAAGATACAGGGTTGACAAGATGGCTCGGCAATAAGAGGTATTTCCTGCCAAGCCTGACAAACTCTAATCTCAGGATCCACCTATTAAAGAGAACTGACTTCATAGTTGTGCTCTGAGCTCCATGCATGTACACACACATACACACAAAACAATAAATGTAACTAATTTTTAAAAAAATAACAGCATATATAATTTCTAGATTATAAATAATATCCTATTTTCTTCTCAATTCTTTTTCCAGGCCAGGAAACAAGCTTCTCAAGTGTTTACAGCAGAGAAGATTCCTTGAATGAAATATTTAGGTGATTTTTTACTTATCCTTTTTCTGATATTGAACTCTGATACAGTTGAAGAATTTGATTTCATTTAAGTCCTTGATATAACATTTAAGTTATGAATGCCTGTTAAGTTATACTTCTTAGTACTTCATTGTCTAGTAATTGGTTGAATAAAATACCTCTTTGTATTGTTGATTTTGATTTCTCATCCATCCATGTCTCAAAAACTTGTTTTACAAGTTAATATTAATTGGCCCATTGCTTATATGAGTTACTTTTAGTACTTAACATCTATTAATATGTTTAATTTTAAAACAGTTGTTTGAGGCAAGCACTGTTATTAGCCCCATGAAGAAGCTGAATTGCTGAGAGATTAGTCATTAGCCCAAGAGTATAACAAGATGGAGCCCACAGCCGTCTCACTCTATTCTCCACTGCTGTGTTAATCGGGGCTTTATCACTGTGACAAGCACAGGAGCCCATTTAAAGGAGGAAGGCTTCTTTTGCTTCAAGGCTTCAGTAGCTGTAGGCCCACTGTGGTAAGACAGAGCACTGGCTGTAGAATGGTGGTGACAGGGCAGAACCATGCTGCCTCACTGTGGCCAGAAAGTAGGAGAGAGGCAGGGAGTGGCCAGGAACAAGCTGTACCCTCAGGTGCACACCCCACATCGACCTGCTTCCTCTAATTCTCCAGCAGCCCCATCAGATAACCCACCAGTGACTGCTCATGACTAGGTCAGTACTTGTCTAGCTCTTTCAGCTCAATGACTGGATCTACCAGTAGAGTCCAAACTTTGAACAAATGAGCTGGGTTTTGGGGGGAGGGGTGGGGGGTGTGGGAGAGGATAACTTCTGTTATGTAGTGAGAGTGCCTCCTTACTGTGTAGTAATCACCTTGAAAGGACTAAGCAGATGCTATAATAGGCTGCTTGGTCTTCTCTCAGAGATCAGGCCTCAATTTCAGTGTCCTGAGACTGAACAAGCAGTTTCTGGAGGTAAAGCCATGAATAAAGGACAATCAATCTCCAATACCCCCAACAGCAAGGAGGAGGCCTGGTGCATGCAGTACCAGGGCAGGCAGGCCAGGCCTGAACCAGCCTCCACAGCAACTCAAGGACAGGGTTTGGGGCTTGTCCAGGCCTGCCCAAAAAATGAAAAACTAGACTTGACCAGCCCCTGATTAGCTCCAGCCAATTAAAACGTACTAAAATGATTGCCACTTATTTAAGCCAACCAGATCTAAAATGACCTAACTTCCTTAGACACTCCCCTCCATAAGGCTTAAAAGAAGCCCCTACCTCCTCAGTTGGTAGCCATCTTCTTGCCTTTATCAGCCCCAGCATGCTGGAATTAAAAAAAAAAAAAAAAAAAAAAAAGACCCTTTGCTTTTGTATCAGATCTGGTCTCTTTGGGATCCTGACTCTAGGCACAACAGCCTTAATATGTAACAAGCTCTAAAACCAAGAATTCTCTTGTTAAATATTTCCACTATCCCTCCATCTCTGCTGAATGCCTTCCAGTTTAATGTGTCCTGTAGGGGGAGTACTAGATTCTGGTCTGACATCCCCTGCATGTGTGTACAGGAGAATCTTACTCTGCCCACTAAACAAGGGGATTATTCAAAGACTTAGAAACTGACAGAATCTGTGGGTAACATAGAGAAGTGACTTGGAACCAAATTAATTGGAGGCTACAATTTGGTGTCAATTATTATAGCAGGAACAATCAAGTTAGAAGTTAGTTGTAGAACACTCAGATTTCACCTTGCAAACAGCACAGCTGGTGGGTGTGGAACAGAAGTCCTCAGAAGGAACAGATACTATGCAATTGAAAAAGACTTCTGCAATCAGTCAATCAGTAAAAGAGTTTAAAAGCCTGTTTGAATGTTTGGGGTTTTTTATTGCATGAATTTCAGTCCTCCAGCCCCCCAATGAGTCTCCTTGTCTAAATTCTCTATAGTTTGTCTTTACTACTGAAGCCAAAATGTTCTAAGCCAGTGAAGTCCTGAGTAAATGTGTATTGTTGACCTTTTCATGGCCTTTTCAAGGTCCAGTGCCTCAGCCTCATTTGAATGGCAAAGCTTTCCCAGGTGAAGTTCAGAGGGCCAGCAAAGCCTTCCTAGGGTCTGAGTGTAAATAGTATAGTGAGTGCAGAAAATACCTGGTTTTCTCACCCCCCACCCGGATGGTTATGGTGTGAAGACTGATACCCTATAGAGACTAATATGCCTACCAAGATTAGTAAACCTGCCTCCTTGTTCAGGCGTATGTATTTAATAACCCTTCCTTCTCTATCTGTATGCAAAAACCCTGCCTCCCTGTCCAACTGTGTACAATAAAGACACTGAGATTCCAGGTTTCTCCATCAGAGATCCAGGTTTCTACATCCCAGTTTCCCTGTGTGTCTGTGTGTTTGTTTTTTCTTAGTTCCCTCACCCCTGTCAGATCAATCCTTGGAGCCATAGCACCAGCCTTCTTACACTATGCAGCCTCAGCTTGCCTCTGCAGGTTCAACAACCTCCCCCCCCCCCCCCCCCCCCCAGGCACACACACACACTCCTTTTACTGGAAGTTGTATTCAGCTTAAAATCCCTTGCCAAAATGATGCCCCTACTGCTGGGAGCCCTTCCACCATAGGAGTCTGTGGCTCTAATGAACCTCTCAAGTATGGAGTAGATGCACCTTCCGATTTACCACAGTGTTATCCAAAAGTGGAGTCCCACTCTGTGACAAAGGAGGTGGAAAAGTGTGAATTGCTGATTGCTTTCTAAAAGTAACACAGCTGAGTCATAATTTCTTAAAGATTTATTTTTATTTGTGGGTGTGTGTGCACCTGTGGAAGCTAGAAGAGGTATAGAATCTGCCAGAACTGGAGTTATAGATGACTATCAGCTGCCCAGCCTGAATTCTAGGAACTAGCCTCTGGAGTGGTAAGTGCTCTTAGCCTCAGCAAGTTTTCTGCCTCATAGAATTGTTTTAATCAGTCCTTTACTACAAAGTTTGAAAAGCACTGGCCTGTGGGACCCCATACTTGTATTAATTTTATATTTTCCTTTTTGCAATCCCCCCTCAATAAAAGCAATATTCAGGAGCAGTGCCAAGGTTTTATTCATAATCTCACGATTGCCTAGCTAATACACTTAGATTTTAAAATGCCAGGGGGATGAAGAGTTGGCTCAGTGGTTAAGAGCACTTCTCACTCTTGTGAGAGGACCCGTGTTCAATTCCCAGTAATCACATGGTGGCTCACATTTGTTGTGATGCCAGTTCTGGGGCATCCAACACCCTCCTCTGACCTTGGTAGGCATCAGGCCTGCATTTACATACATGTAGACAAAACACTCATATACATAATAGAACTTAAAATGACTTTTTAATGAAAATTTTTACAGTGGTAGAGAATGTAAGTCTAAAGTGTCTGGATATCATTTCCTCTCATCTCTGTGTAATTCTTTTTCCACCAACCAGTTTAGGATGAGCAAGAAGTTTGATGGACAGGTTGAGGAAAACAGAAACTCTAAACTTTGAATAACCTTACAGCTTTTATTCCATTTTAGACTTGTGAGTGTTCATCCAGGAAAGAGAATGGGTGCACAAGCAACAATATTTGCATACAGCACCATTGGCTCTGTATGTGTGTCTGTGTGTGGTACCCATGGAGGTCACAAGAAGGCATTGGATCCCTTGGAACTGATGGTTTTAAGCTACCATGTGGATGCTGGGAATTGAACCCAGGTCCTCTTGCAACAGCAGCAGGTGTTCTTAACCACTGAGCCATCTCTCCAGCCCCTGGTTATCCCATGTTTCAAACTCCATATCCCTTGACACTCAAAATCTAGACATTTCCAAGAAGCATTGTGAATTATAACTTCTAATACTTGCCATATTAAAAATTAAATTTGAGCATCGTGGTTCACACCTGTAATCCCAGCACTTGGGAGGCAGAGGCAAGCAGATCTCTGTGAGTCTGAGGTCATCCTGGCCTACATAGTAAGTTCCAGGACAGGAAGAGCTACATTGTGAAACCCTGTCAAAGAGAGGAAAAAAAAAATTACTGAGATCTTTTCAAATCAGGATTACTTAATTGTAGCTATTAAAACAGTAATGTGACCACATGAGCTTCTGGAACACCCACTGGGCAACTTTCTGTAAAAACTGGCAGTAAAGGTTTGTGATTTTTCAAGACATGGTCTTCCTGTGTAGCCCTTGCTCTCCTGGAACTCTATAGACCAGGTTGGCCTTGGACTCCTACCTCTACCTTCTAAGCGCTGGGATTAAAGGTGTGTTTCACCACAGGTAGCTTTTAAAATATTTTTAAAGATTTATTTTTATGTGTGTGAGCATGCATGCACATGTGTAGTGCCTGTGGAGGGTGGAAGAGGACATTGAGCCACCTGACTTAAGTGCTGGGAACTGAACTCCTGTCCTCAGCAAGGGCAAAGCTTTTCTTGCCCACTGAGCCATTCTCCACACCACCCTCATTTGATAACTTTAAAGAATGATTTACTCTTTAAACCATCATTTCCAACATGTATATGTATTTCCAGTATATGTGTATGTGTATATAAAATCAGTCCCCATAAAAGATTTGTGTATGTGTTAGTGCCATGTAAGACTGGGCTACTTTTGTGTTAGTCGTCATCGTCTTCTTCTTCATCTTCAGTTTCTTCATTCTCGTCAGCTGAAAGTACACTGGCCTCTTGTGCAGTCCTGAAAGCCTGTTCCTCATCCACACTAGGATCATCCATTTCTGTAATTTCTGGTCCACTGGGATATTCTTGATAGACTGGTGGCAGGCCTGGGGGTGTGTAATTCTCCACACTATATTTATGACCCCAACCTATGTAGAAGTTTTCAAACTTCCTGGAAGTAAAAAGGAAATAAAGTCATGTCTCTTAAGAAAAGTTGACCCGTTTATAGTAATAAAGTATTGTCACTATATCTTGGAACCATGTCTTTTTAAAACAAGGCATTAAAAATGCTGGAGTTAAATAGTTCCCAATAATTCCTTAACTACTGGAAATTATTTGTACTAAACTACCAAGTTGGTTATAAAAATACTGGGCCAGACCCTGTCAAAAATGCACCCTGTATCTAGACTTCAGTCAAGAAAAAGTTAAAAATTGATGTGTTATTTTTTTCAGGCATGATCATAGGAAATTGCAGAGACTTTACTTTGTAGGCCTCACTCCGCTTAGGAAGACTCCCCAACCCATGGCAGATATGATGCATGACCAATTGACAAACCCCTTTGCTAAGGGGAGTTTCAGTCAAGAACTCTACCCCCAAGGCGGGTCATGCAGTCCTAACTCAAGGGCCTTCATCCTTAGTGTTCTGTCTCAGGCCTGACAGCCCATCCCTCCACACGATCCCACCTGCATCTCCAAAAAACTTCCTCAGCTTTTTTTAATGAGGTTCCTTCTCAAAGAGATGAGCTCACAATACCCACATATTTGTGGCACCCACATTTCTACAAATCCATTTCATCCTTGGAAGAGAATAATGTGAGAGGAAAGTCAAAGCTTTCTCTTCCTCATGCTATCATGGTAAGTAATTAAAAGCTTAGCTTTTACTTAGTTTTTTTCCCAATATAACAATTTTATTGATTATTTGGGAATTTCACATTATGCACCCCATCACACTCACTTCCTAGTCCTTTCTGGTCTGCCCCCCAAGTCTTGTGACTTCCCTACCCCAAAAAGAATGGAAAAAACCCACAAGTCCAATTTGTTTTGCTCATATACTCACTGGAGTTAAACCCCAGTGGCTATTGGCTTTCACTTTTGACTTACACTGTGGTTTTTAAATTTTTTTCATACTATTTCACCATATTCTTTTCTTTCTTCCAACTTCTGCCAAATCCCCTCATCCATCCAACTCAATTTCTTTCTTAGAAACAAAGCAACACACACACTACATGGAATTTGTTTTGTGTTGGCCAACTAGCTTCTGAGCATGAGGCTTGCTTTAATGACTAGTCTAACTAAGGCAGCTTGGCTCTTACCTGCTCAGTTGTGCTTTCTGACACTAATTAGGAAAGAAACAGAAACAAGCAAATAGAACTGATTTCTTTCTCAACAAGGGAGAAAGGAAGCCACAGCAGCCTTTTTGATGGAATTCCTTTGAAAGTGATTAACTAAAAACATTTTAAATAACTTCTAGCAAAATGCTCAACAAAAAAAATAATGTCTAATTCAAATGCATCTTAAACTCTCTACTAACTTAATGAGTGAGAGACAAAACCATGTCCAATATAGATAAATGAAATAATTAAGATGAAAAGTATAACCCTGAATTACTCAAGCTCGAACTACATTTTTACTATATTGCAGGAGTCATTTTAATAAGTCATACACTATATACTAACATGCCAAAGATGAGTTAAGATGATAGTAACCTAACATTCCTGTGATAACATAATTTCCAGAGCCCAAATAATTACAATTGTCAGACTCTATGGAAGGCTAGCACTTTGAAAGCCAAATGCTTATGTTAACATGTACTTTCAATATGTCCTTTGTTTCTGTCTAAAGTTTCTGATGCAAACTGAGCATACCCAGAGTCATTCCTGTCTGGGATTTAAATCCCAAACCGTGTTATTTATGACCTTCAGCTAAACAAGTCTCAAAACATATCTATCTTCCTTCCTGGATTATGATTTTAAATTGAATGTGCTTGGAAATGCACAGCTTACAACCCAGTATACAGGAGTGACTCAGCCTTGGATGACTATATGGGCTCCCTGAACAAACTCATCATTCTTCCATCCTTTGGTCAGGGAGGTAGTTTGAATTGGATTTCGATATTCTGCTCACCTGCTGTGTGTAAATAAATCCTTTCCCAGCTTTATGTCCTAGTGGTTGCTTTGGTTTTACACTCAACAGAATATAAGCTATTGAGTTTGGTTGCACATGGCTTTGTAAGTGGCAAGATACTTACTTGCCATTAGAAATGGCATATGCTCCAGGCCAAAGATTGGATCGAAGGACAGCAATAGCATACTGTGGAATGAGATTTGAGGACAGCCGTGTTGTCCAGGAGGGTATATTCTGAATATCTGGAACCCAATGAGAAAGTTACAAGCTTAAAATAGACAAGAATCTACTGGTAACTGAAGTGATTTTTATAAATGTGCAACAATCTTTATTTGCTATAAAAATTAAGAGTGTTCTAGACCAATATAATTTTAAGGAGATACATAGTACACACACACACACACACACACACACACACACACACACACACACACACACCCCATATGTAAATATATAACAAACATATAAATATGTACAAACACTTTTACAACAGAGCCCTTGCTAAAGGAGAAGAAGTTTGTGCAAAGGGACTAGTTTTGATAACCAACGGAAAGGCAATTCATTACTATGGAATAGTGCAAGTAAAACAGAATAAGAAGAAACAATACACAGACAAATATAGATTAGAAGCCAACTCTAGACCACATGTAACATTTTACTGTAGCTATGCCATGTGTTTGTGGTATACGGAATGCAAGACAAGAATGATGTCAAATTTTTCAGTTAGTTGCAGTCTGTCCATGTTTCCTCTGTGCATCACTTTTTTTTTTTTTAAGGACATTAGTATATAGCCAAAAGCATTCTTGAACCCAGGAAGTAGAGAAGGGATGGGACCTAGCTCTCTGCCCCACTTTTAGGTTGTATATTTACCACACAATGTGTGTAATACATAGTTCATGCGTCCTCATTAGCAGTTGTATAAAGTTACCTAAATCTTCAGAGATTGGTGTCAAAAGAGGAGGACCCACTTCTTGTTCTATGTAGTCAGGCTCCTCTCCCTTTTCTTCTTTGTCTTCATCTTCCTCCTCTTCTTCCTCCTCATTTTTTTGTATAGGATTGAACCAAGTACAGCGACCCTGGAGATGAACAGTGCAAGGTTTAATGGATGAATGAGACCTTACAAATGTCAGAGTATTCATATTGGTTGGTAGTTATCAGGATGAGACTCTCTGTGTCAGAAATTGCCAACTATTCTGATACAGGGTCACTCTCTATGATCCTCCTGCCTCAGTTTCCACAGAGCTAGGCTTGCCAACACGTGCCCCCACACTGAGCTTATTCATTCTGTATACTTCTACCAAGTATGATTTCCATCTGGGCCATTTTCAGGAATAATAACAAACCTGTACTAGCTATTTCAATAATGTTCCACTTCTTGGAGTTAAAGAACTTGAAGGTCTATGCATGCTTTAAAGTGGGCAGAATCTTATTGGAAACGGCACTAATACATTTTACTAATTTGCAATACTTTATATAAATGAAACAAATCGTGATTTTTAAAAAAACACTTTTTCATTTCTTTTGAAATGTTCTAGTTGATTTTATTGATATGTTATTTTAAGTTAGAAATCACCAGAAAGGTTTTAAGATCATTTAACATTTTAAAATTCAATCATTAAAGCCAGGCATGGTAGCACACATTTAATTCCAGCATTCAGGAGGCAGAGGCAGGCAGATCTCTGTGAGTTCCAGGCTAGCCTGGCCTACATAGCAAGTCCTAGGCTAGTCAGGAATACATAATCAGACTCTGTCTCAAAAAGTAAAAATCCATTATTATAATTCCCCCCTTTTAAAAGATGTGTGTGTGTGTGTGTGTGTGTGTGTGTGTGTGTGTGTGTGTGTGTGTGTCACACATGCAGGAGTCCATGGAAGTCAGAAGAAGATATCAGATATCCTAGAGCTGGAGTTGCAGGCCATTGTGAACTGCCTGTGAAAGATACTGGAACCAAACCTGTGTCTTCTGGAAGAACAGCAAGCACTCTTATGTCCAGTTCCTATACTTATTTATAGAATATTCCTAAAATAGAGACACTGTAAGACATTGCCACAAGAGTCCTGGTGAAATGGTTTATAATGGTACATATCTGGCCTTCACAGTACTTTTTGTTTGTCTGGTTTTGTTTTTTTTTGTGACAGGGTTTCTCTGTGTAGTCCTAACTGCCCTGGAACTCACTCTGTAGAACAGCTGACCTCAAACTCACAGAGATCCACCTGCCTCTGTCTCCTGAGTGCTGGGATTAAAGGTGTGTGCCACCATTGCCTGGCCATAGTACTTTTTTTAGTATTTATTTTTATTGGCATATAGTAACTGAACAAAGTAATGTGATGTTTACATACAAGTATATAATATATTTAGCCCCCATTGTATAGCCTCCTTTTGTATACACTTCCAATGCTAATTATTAATAATAATAAAATTATAAATGTGATAAGACTGGGGTCTTAATTGCTCAGGTAATAACCTTATCTAGAGTACTCAGGAGCACCTCTAATCTATACGGAAGTGACGATTTTCTACCTGTGATGGAAGAGTGTAGCAGGTGTTTCAGGGGAAGGGCTCTGGATCTTTTGTCTCATGCCCCATGCCTCACTCAATAATAAATTAGCTAAGGTTGCTTTACCATTTCTCCCACCCTGTCTGCCTCAACCCCTCATTGTAAAATGAAGTAATCTTGGAACCTTCATGGGGTTGTAGTGAGGATGGAATCATATGTACTTACAGACATAATTGATTACATTTAGTGTATCTGGCACAGGGCCTCTATATAACCACTGTGCAAAACTAATTTTCATTTCTGTAGTAATCTTTTAGTGTTCTTGACATAAAAGCTTCATGTAGAATAAAAGAAATGTTGACAGATTAATACACATCAATATCTAAACTGTAACAGATCATTAGAGAACACCTGTAAATCTAAATCTATGGGCTACCTGAATATTCCCCTACCTGAGGAAGAATGTACTGTACATGATGGACCCAATTGGATAGAGATTCCACCAGATCAGTCACTTGGATGCCTTCAAAATCGGGGTTTTCCTCATAGCTGTCTCGACCACCTTCCATCTCTTCTTCTTCTCCTTCCTCTTCCCCAAACTGATAAAACCCTAGAGGACTGACGTGGGTCCCTGCTGAAATTCGGGCAATTTGTGCTCTTAAGTAATTGCTTTCATTTCCTGGGAAGGGTGGGTAGCTTATGATGGCCGCATCTAGTCGCCCAGTGAAAAATTTCTTGATTTTTCTTGCAGTAACAATTTGTGCAGGTGTAACTGAAGGTAACTTCATCCACGGCCTTCCAGGTTCATTGCAAACGAAATAGACATACTTGTTGGTACCTGTTCTATTTTCCTCCTTAGGGATAGCCTGCGGGGCCTTATACTCGGACTTGGGCAATTCATCCTCTTCGCCTTCACCAGCTTCACTCTCTCCAGCGTCCCTCTCTTCTGCTACCCCTTCCTCTTCCACCTCCTCCTCATCTTCACCAGCACGAAATTCCACTTCAGCAACAATGTAATTCATTTCCAGACCCAAGATCTTGCCCCAGAAGCGGCATCTTTGGATTGGGTGGGTGTCAGTCAGTTGTTTGAGGGCAAGAAACACCCGGTAAGTCTCATCTGTCCCCAAACCAACTCCAGCTTGTTCAAAATAATAAGCTGATTCCATCACATTGGGCAGAGAGCTTTCTGCCTAGGAAAACAAATGACCATGATTAAAAGTTGATTCGTAAGAGGAATATTTGCCTCTTTTTTGTTGGCTTGATACTACCTCTACTTTCTCCTCTGCTCTTTGTGTTTGAAGACATGCACCAAAATGTGTTAATCCCTAAACTTTAGTTCTCCCTCACATGTAAAGTTTCTTACATCGATTGTGTACCATACTCATTGATATGATAATTATTTTGTCTTATATGACTCTTAGTTAAAAACTTAATAATTACTAATGACAAAAGTTCAACCCAGGCAAAGGGGTTCACACCTTTAATCCCAGTACTTGGAAGGCAGAGGCAGGTAGATCTGTTTGAGTTTGAAGTCAACCTAGCCTGTATAGTGAGGGCTATATATATAGGAAGGCTCTATTTGAAAAAAATTCAACATTATTTTTCATTCAAAATAAGTGAGTAATGCTAAAATAAGATATAGTTTACCTTACAGACACATATTTATATACATTTATGTTGTCATTTCAAATATGTATTAAATTAATGATTTTACATGTAAGTTGGGTATATAACAATTTGTATAGTAGCATATGTAAAATAATGGAAAGGATCCAAAAGTAAAACTTTTTGAAGTGCTTGGCATTATCTACACTTTAGAATACAAATGTAGTACTTGACAGGATAGATAGTAAATAACAACACTTGAAATAATGAAGATAAATATAATTCCATAAAAGAAATATAGGGAAATAAACATAGGGTGCTAAATGGATAATAGAATAGCATTTGCGAGCCCAAAGGGAAGTACAAAGAAACCTTAACTGAAGTGGGGTCCTTTCCAGACAGTCTTGACTCACAGGATAAATAGAACAGCTAAGAGCACTTATCATTCCTACAAATGACTTGCTATTATTTATATTTTTCCATTGTGGTGTCAAGATAAATATAAAGACATTTTGGGTCTTTTGTTTGTTTGCTTGTTTGGTTGGTTTTGGTTGAGACCGGTCTTAGTGTGTATAACTGGCTGACCTGGAACTCACTCTGTAGTCCAGGCTGGCCTGGAACTCACAAAGATCTGTCTGCCTTTGCCTCCAAGTGCTGGATCAAAAGCCACCTGTCCTGGCTAATACAATACCTTTTAAAATCCTCACCAGCGACAAAAGAGTGTAAAATTCTTTCCCTGGCATGTAGAGTGTCACTTGCCCTGCTCTTGGCCCTGCTCACTTATCTACAATGCCATGGGGTTAGGAGCACAGCTGTGGAGGTCAAAGGACAACTTACTGGACTTGGTACTGTCCTTAGCATGTAGGTTCCAGGATTGAACCCAGCTAGGACTTTAGGCATGACAGCAGGACCCTTTACTCTCTTTCTGGATCCCAATGGGAAGTTTTACTCCTCATCCTGTAACTCAGCCCCCATATTCCATGGCTGCTGGCCTGACCCTTTATAGGAAGATGCTTGGTCAAGAGCGGTTAAGCTCCAGACCCAAAACAGCTGTGTGTCTTCTCACTACCTCCTATATCGAGATGTAGAACCTGACCTAAGTGAAGCTGCCTTAGACAGCTGGAAGCCCCATTCCTATATTTAATACTGACATTTCTTTATGAAGGTATCCCCGAGAATGTCTGTCATCTGCTTTGTCCCCACATACTGAATGTTCCCAGAGTCCTCATGGTTGTATCTGAACCATACTTGATGCCACTCTGTGAAGCAGCCTGGTATTAGCTCCTTACTCCTATCACAGGTTTCTTCCATTCAACGACTCTGGGTCCCTTTGCAACAGGCTGCATTTCTCCACAAAGGCTGCTGCACCAAGGCAGTGTGGGTACAGCCAAGGCCTTGCCTCTCTTGCCTTTCCCTGCAGGATTCTATTTTAAAAATAGTTTATTTGAAATATGTTTTAAATGGGTGCTGTTAATAGAACATGGAAGGCCAGAATTGTTAAGTATATAGACACCAAGGAAAAATTATATAGGATGTTATTTTGAAATATTTGAAGTTCAAATTTTTGTGAGGCACCAGATTTTACTCCATACTATATAGTTCTTGCCTTCTGTTACCAATTCTTTCTCCAAACATTTTCACTAACTTGACTATCAAGAATTTCTAAGGTAATCAGTTGTACTTTGAACCATGGTTAAACTATGTAAAATATCAAGGCAAATGATGCTTAACATTAAAAAAAAAAGCACACATAAGAAGTGACAATAGAAGTGCTTTTAAGGTATGAACTTAATTTAAAGGAAAATATGCAACTTGATTTAAAGCTTTAATTATAGCCATGCATCACTTTATGGTGACACATTTGAAGGAATTTCATTCAGCAAATTGGTTTTGCAAATATCATGGAGTGAACTTCTTCAAGCCTAGATGACATAGCCTACTAAACACTCAGTAATATTTCGGTGTACTTTCCTTAAAATCATTTTAACCTTAATTTAATCTTTATGTGTACTGGTATTTTGCTTACATGTTTGCTTGTGTACCATATGCATGTGTTAGATTCTCTTAGAATGGAGTTATGGTTGTGAACCTTCATGTGGGTGCTTGAAATCAAATTCAGGTTCTCTGGAAGAGTAGCCAGTACTCATAACCACTGAGCCCTCTCTCCAGCCTCCTACCCCCTCTTTTAAGAAAGAGTCTCTTTAAGAATACATTGATGACCTGGAGCTCACTCAGTAGACCAGACTAGCCTTGAACTCCAACAGATCTATCTGCCCCTGTCCCCTGCCAAGTGCTAGGATTAAAAGCATTCTCTTCGATGCCCAGCCTGAGTTTGCTTTTAAATAAGGCTGTATCACTGCAGCACATTTGCTCATGGAGCCATCACCACAAACACATAGTCTTTTGCACCTCATTTCACAACACTACCTTCTCTAGTGTCTCATATTTTCACATTTTACAGGGCTTAGATTTTCTTATATTTTTCAGGACTAAGTTTCTTGGTATTGTAAGACCCTCAAAAAGCCCAGGCTTCCAGAATCTTAGCCCAGGACCTCGGCCACCCCAATCACAGAATGGAGGCGAAAGCTTGATGCAAATTGCATGAGGCTTTATTGTAGTTTAACGAGCTAACCCCATGTTAGCTCGGGTCTTTGACCCACTCACCATGGCGGATGGCTAGCAAAGACAGTTCGAAGCCGCTGCATACAGATCTTTATAGGGCAGCATAAGGGGAGTGTTTAGGGGTATGCACAGGCTCAGGATTGGCGTGCCTCCAGGCTTGGAAGGTTTGCCCTGTGTTGATTGGTCAACTGTTTGTTATGGCCCATAGGCCCTCCCAGGGTGGTTGCTATGCTTTGTGTGTCATTGCTGTGCGCTTGTCCGTAAAGCACACCCAGGGTCGTAATGCATAGCACCACCAGCTAACTTCTGATTGGTTCCTTGTCACGAGGCAGGCATCTGACTTTCTAGTGACTAAGACAAGGTCATAGAGCACGTGTTCGGTCTTTATGGCTGCCAAAAGGGAAGCTGGTCCCTTCAGTATCAGAGAGAATGATTTCTTCATATTTCTTGTTGAAATGTCCTGGGACAGATAACGGCTTTATAGCTGCTTACTAAGTATTCACTGAATACTTAATATGGCGGTGAGAATAAAAGTGTTTTCCATTGGCTCATATATGTTCTCCATATGCTTATTCACAAGGGAGTGAAAGGGTTAGGAAGGTTAGGAGATGTGGTCTTATTAGAGTAGGTGTGACTTTGTCAGAGGAAGTGTGTCACTGATGGGAGCCAGGAAATTCCATTATGGAAGGTCTCAAGGTCCAAACCTCCGGTTTCAGTAAACAGGAGCTCCTGCCTACAATTGTATTGCAGATGTGAGCTAACCTGCTATTGAATAGCATGGCCTCAGTGGGGAATGTCCCCTAGTTTGCTTCTCTACAGGACTAAGCATTTGAATAGTCCTCTATCAGGGCAGAGGGCTAGGTGTGTAAGGAACAAGGGAGGACAGTGAGTTAGGAGGTCTCTGGCAGATGGGAAGAGAAAGAAATGGTCTCAGGGTCAGGGAAGCACAGTTAAGAAACAGCCAGGAAGATGCTGAATAAAGGAGAGACTCTAGTTTTACAACATGGAACTGAGAGCTCTCTAAAGATGACAAGATGCCTGTGTTTGGTCTTTTTCTCGATTGGGTGGCTAGGAGTCTCCAAGTCTACACTCCTCCACTCAGGCCGAACCTCATGGCTACAGTGGCTTGGGGCTGAGACATATGGGTAACGACATGTCACCAAAAGTGAGCTTTGAGATTTCAAAGGTCCATGCTAGATCTAGGCTCTCTCTTAGCCTGTGGATCAGGCTGTAGCTCTAATCTACTGCTCTAACACCATGTGTGCTGCCTTAGTTTCTGCCATGATGATATTGGACTAAACCTCTGAAATTGTAGGCAAGACCCCAACTAAATGGCTTTTTTTTTCCTTTTTTTTTTTTGGTTTTTTGAGACAGGGTTTCTCTGTGTAGCTTTGGAGCCTTTCTGGAGACCAGGCTGGCCTTGAACTCACAGAGATCTGCCTGCCTCTGCCTCCTGTGTGTTGGGATTAAAGGTGTGCACCACCAACGCCCGGCAAATGGCTTTCTTTTATGAGTTGCCTTGTTCATGGTGTCTCTTCACAGCAACAGAACATAACACAGCAATGATCATATCTATCCAGTGACTAAGACTGGATCCATCCACTAAGACTGGATGCCATATTTAATTATGTACCAAATAGTGACGTTCTAGAAAGTGACAGACATCATGTATGACAAAGGTCCTATAAAATGATGAAAAATTTCATACCAGTTACTGACATAGAAGTCACCATATGATCATGGTGAAATGCATTGATTAGAAAAGTTTTGAAGGAATGTAAGAAAAATCTGATTCAAATACTATTTACAACTGCTATAGAAGCAGTTGGCATGAGTAAGCAAACCTCTTCATCCCTGAGATCCCAGGGCTCATCAGTACCATCACTCTATGTGGTATTCACTTACTACTATATTCAGAGTTATAAGATGATATCCCACCCTTCCCTGAGATTCCAGTGTTCATTAACGGTGTTGAGATAGTTGGCGATCACTTACAATTTCCTCCTCCAGTTCTGGATCAGTGGCTTCCACCTGTCCCTGGAGAAAAAGAGCCTTTTGCTTCTCTGCTATTTCATATGCCGGAAGCATCTCATTTTCATTGTGGAGTGTATCTAATTTTTTATTAAAATTTGCCATTTTCACATCTTTGCTTATATTTTCAATGATGTCAACAGCATCTGCAGGACGCTCATCTAATATCTTGGTCAACACATTGGAAAGATGATCATATCTACTCAAACAGAGAAAAAATCCAGATACAATATACATCATGAACACTTAAAATTTTTTTTCATGTAAATTCAGTTGGATTTTAGAGAAGTTAAAAATTTGAAATCTGAAGAGTTTTGAAGAGAAGATAACTTCTACCACTCCATATAGAACCTATTCTATAATTTTCTTTAGTAAATCCTCTAATATGATGTGGATATTTAAGTTAGTAGAGGAAGACATAACAGCAAGATATATGATACACATCAGCTATTTTCATATTTCATTTCTGAAATTGAAATCTCTTAGCTATATTCTAACAGTGATGAGCACTTTCACTTTTGCCTTAATTATTTTCTGTTCCCCAGCCTTGCCCTCACCAATATAATAGAATCTGATATCCAAATCCTATTAATTCCTTAAGAGTTATGTTCCTAATTTTTGACAAAGAAGCTAAAAATATAAAATGGAAAAAGGAAGCATATTCAACCATTGCTCTTAACCATTGAGTCCTCTCTCCAGCCCCTACATCATATTTTAAAAGAAACAATTATCTTCAATGTTTTTAGGCTCCCAAAGAAAGCATTTCATATTGTCATCTACCCACATACAGTTAAAGACAAATCACCAACTTATTTGCTTTTTTCTTTTGTTTTAAACTATTTGAAGGGACCAGCTCCCCATTTTGGCAGCCATAACAGCCGAACATGTGCTTGTCTGACCTTGCCTTAGTCACTAAGAGGTTAGATGCCTGCCTCATGGCAAGGAACCAATCAGAAGTTAGCTGGTGGGTCTATGTTTTACCGCTCTGGGTGTGCTTTTCGGACAAGTGCACAGCAATGACGCGCAGAACATAGCAACCACCCTGAGAGGGCCTATGGGCCATAACAAACAGTTGACCAATCAACACAGGGCAGGCCCTCCAAGCCTGGAGGCACACCTATCCTGAGCCTGTGCTTACCCCTAGACCCTTCCCTTACGCTGTCCTATAAGATCTCTATGCAGCCGGTTAGAGCTGTCTTTCCTAGCTATCTGCCATGGTGAGTGGATGGATGGAAGGCCCCAGCTAACATGGGGTTAGCTGGTTAAACAACTATAATAAAGCTTTTGACTCCCCATGGTGATTGGGGTGGCCGCGGTCCTGGGCTGAGATCCTGGAGGCCTGAGCTTTCCGGGGGTCTTACATATTTTTGTTAGTTCTTGGAGAGCTTTATGTGTTTTGACCATATTTACCTTCCCTTTCCCAATTCTTCCCAGATCCAGATTCACCCACCCAACTTTGTGTCCTTTTTTGTTTATCCCATCAAGGCCAATTCATGCTACCCAGATACTTTTAGATGTGTGGCCTTCCTCTGGAGTGTTGATTATAACATTTTGTTTTATTGTATTTCACAATTAAATTAGCAAAGCTTCATTTACCCTGCCATTAATTAATCATACTTTATTCGTAATTCACAGTCTGTAGTTTTCAAGGGACTGCATGGGATTTGCACACTACTATATACTTATCTCCTAGCACATTGCTGATTTACAGAATAAAGATGGATGGATGGATGGATGAGGAAACAGAGGCAAGGTCTCTAGCCTATGCCTCCTGAGAATCTGTTTCCAATTTCATCAGAATCTTCTGCATTGCCTTCTGTTTTGTCAGTAAACACTGAGTGTCAGCTAAATAAGAAATGTGGAAATTAAACACCAACTCCATGGGATCCAATCCCTGTGGCCTCCAAGGGCACCCACATTCCCACATATAGATACACAATTAAAAATAAAATATTTGTTATGCGCTGGAATGAAGTGGTTAAACACACTTCCTGCTCTTTGAGAGGACTTGAGTTGGTTTTCCAGTATTCACATGCACACACATTATATTTGGAAGATGGAGCCTCTAGTTCTTGCTGTTATTTACTCATATTTTGGAGGCTGAACATCCCTAGTGGGAGGGCCAGGTATCAAAATTTAAGTTCATAAGCATTTATAAAATTATAAATTTCACAAAGTGCCATGAAACGAAAGAACACACTACTGCAAGAGAGTTCCATGTCAGCTGAGTTCTGAAGGGTCAGGAGCTAACTAAGCAAAGACTAAGGGACAGAGCCTTCTCAGCAGAGGGACAATGGGAACTATTTCTTGTGACTGGAGAAGAGTAATGAGGAAAGAAACAATGAGTAATGAGAACCAAGCAAATTTAGTTCTCCAAGAGTTTCTGAGTCAGGTCCTTCATATTAAAAAAAAGAATGACTTGATTTGATGTTTTTTTTAAAAGAATTTATTAACATTTAAAAAAAAAAAAACATGGATGGGTGTTTGCTTGCACGTAAGTCTGTGCAACCAGTGTGTGTCTGATGCCAGGAATGTCAGAAGAGGGCTTCAGAACCCGTGAAATTGGACTTATAGACAGGTGTGAATTAGGAATTGAACCTGGGTTTTCTAAATTAGCCAGTACTCTCTGCCACCAACCATCTCTTCAGTCCCCATTTGATGTTTTTGAACATTGCTTCTAGCCACAAAATTCATCTATGGTTATGTAATCCTCGAAGCAAAAATGTCTAGAAACCCACACTGTTGTGAGTTCTCACACTAAAGCTGCCATGACATGTGGAGAACATTCCCAGGTAGTTGGTTATCACATGTTTAAAGAGAGACTAGAATGTTTTTAAAGTAGCCAGGTTTTCTGGTTTCCTGTAGATTACAGGACGTACAACTTTCAGTGCTCACATGGTAGGACATTCCTAAGAAAACCAGGATGGGTGGTCACCCAAGCATTGGCCTGGCACTGAACATAAAGTCAAGTTACAAGAGTGGACTCTGTCAATGTAGGCAATTATATTTTACAGGCAACCTGGGTAGATGCTTGGATTTCATGACTTTATAATTCCTTCCAAGTCAAGAATAAATAAACAAAACAGCAACAAGACCCAAAACAAACAAAAAATACCTGAACTGTGTGACTAGGTTCTTCAAGACCTAAAATAATCATCATCAGTGGCCTGGACTTAAGTGTTTGGTACAGTTATCTCAGTAATTCACTTTCTTTGTATTTCCTCTCCTTTGTTTGTTTGTTTGTTTGTTTGTTTTTGAGATAGGGTCCCACTTTCTTTGTAGACCAGAGAAGTTTCTGGCCTAAAACAGAGATCCGTATGCCTCTGCCTCCCCTCCCAGGTCCTGAGATTGAAGGCCTATGCCACCACATTCATAACTTTTTCCAAATGAAAGCCTTTCCGATTCTATCTTCTTTCGTCTCCAACACATTTTTCACAGAGACACTCCTCTCACTCTGTCCCTGCCCTGCTTTGTCAAACTGTCCTTTCCTCTACCCCCCACCCCCACCCCCGGAGATACTTACAGGTTTAAACCAGACTGGCTGCTTGTACTCAGTAGGTACGCCTTTGCATTCTGAATGGCCACTTCAAGCATACTGGGGGCGGCTTCATTGGCCCCAAACTCAGGCTGATCTGGATCACAGTTACTGTTTGAGTCTTCCTCCTGTAAAAGGTCGAATCTCAGCCCTTTGACCTTGGGCTTGTCAGGGCTGGCATCCCCTGGCCCACGCAGGTCAAACTGCAGTGGCTGAGACTGGGGGAAGGCGCTTTCCTCTGATTGGCTCATGTAGTGAGAAGTTATTTGTCTTGCAGCAGAAGCTGAATCCCAGGCATCAGAATGAGGTGTCGCAGAGTCAGAAATCCCACCAGGGACCCTCTCTGCCGGTGATGAAGCCACACGGTCCTGCAGAGATGCAATAAGGGGAGGAGTGGAAGGAAACACTGAAGGAAGCAGAGGAGGAGAGGATGACACTAATGGTCCGGTGAGGTCTTCCAGAGACAGGCTGGCTCTAGACTGGCGGCCCCAAGAGGGGCTCATTCTGCGATGGGGTTCAGTGTCTGATCTTGGCTCCTCTTCCAGGCACTCAGGTGCCAGGAAACCAGGATCCTGGGGAGAAGCTGCTGCTGCTCCTTCCCATAGTTCCTCTGCTTCCTTTGGCTCTTGAGTTTCTTTTTCTTGATTCAGAGGAGTAGAGTTTTCCATAGGAGTCAAGAAATAAAAAGGCTATGGCTAAAAGAGTTAAGTTATGGAAGGAAGCAATACGGAGCTTTAAAACTGAGATCTCCTAAGCGATCAATTTCTGGGCCCTACAAGCAGTTCAGGTTGCAGCGTCCTATCTCCATAGCAACCCCAGGCTGGCCTTCTCTATGGGGGAAAAAAAATCAAGCAGCCCTGTTGCTAGGATTCTAGGGAGGAGACTAAGACGAAAACTCTAGCTTTGTGATTTGGTGAAGTCTCTGTCCTTCTTCCTAGCTCAATCAATCCAAACCCCACCCTTTCGGTTTGGATTTTGTTTTAGAAACCCGGGACCTGCAAATCCTCTGCTTAAAGCATAGACCAGGTGCCAGAGGGTCTTTTATAGCCTGTATGTGACAGCTTGATCCAGGAATGATGTGAAGTATGACTCTGAACTAATGGAAAGACGATTATTCTCTGTGTATCTCCCACATTGTGAGAGACAGATAAAGACATGGGTGGGAGTGTTGAGAGCACCAAGATAACCTTGTAGGTTAGCTGACCAGGACACGGAGATATACACTGTTTCAGACACCAGGAGAACCCCAAATGCAGACTTAGAGTGCATAAGTATCTCACTGAGCCAACCTTCTGTGAACAAAAACTTCTGAAAGGAAACTGCATCTATATGTGTATGAAAACTCCTGAAAAGGATCTGTGACTACAGAGACTGGTTGACAGGTTAGAATTTCAGGATCCTGGAAAGATTGGGATGTTACAAGTTCAGATGCTAATTTCCTTATCTTGGGCCAAGTTCTGTCCTTCTAGAACAGTCATCCCTTGCCACACTGTGTGGCAACTAACACCTTGTGACAATGGGTAAAAGTCTTTTTGGGATCTATTAGCTTAGCAGACCACAAACTTCTGCCAAATGCCATCAGATAGCACCTTAGATGAATATAGTAACTCCCTACGTATTGTTGTACCTGCCTTTCTGATGTACCCACCAATGGATTTTAAACCTACCTTGATTTATGACTTCCTTTGTTCATAAACAGACAAAAACTTCATGAAACTGCTTCCACATTGTAACATGGAGTTTGGGGTAACTTAAGTCTGTGTTCCAAGGTCATAGTCACTCAAAATGACTCTCACCCTTTAGGATGAGAGATGTGGTTTTTGCATCATCAATTATGGCACCACAATTTGGGATGTTGAGAATGATCCGGTTTTCACTGATTGAATTGCCTGAGAGGAAGCCAGGTGTCTGTGTGAACCCACTGAATCCAGGCCATCTCCTGTTACTTCCTTGGTGAATTGTTTTAGGAATCTGGACCTTCCTTAGTTTGGTCAGTGGTCCATTTTGTTTATTCTGAGTTGGTTAGTAAGGATCCTACTGTGATAGATAGGAGAATTCTACTTTGATCCTCCATACTCTTTACCCCATTCCAAAATTGGTAGGGGGCAGTCATTGTTCTCTCAATGCTGAAAGGCAATAGTTATAAAGTCTCATTTTCCTCATTGTAGTGGATTCGGGAAAGAGGTACTGTTTCAGTTCTTCTTCTTCGTCATCATCGTCGTCATCTTCTTCCTACAACAACAACAACTACTGCTGCTGCTATTTGTCCTTCTGCCTCAGCTTCCTGGGAGTTGTAATTACACCCTTATGCCATCACACCAGCACCGGTCTTACTAATGCAGGATGGGAATGGTTGACAAGATGCTACTGACCTCACTGTCTCTGAAAATATAGATGTCAGTGGGAGGAAGAAAGAGGTATCTCTGCTTGTGCCCATGCAGTACAGGAAATGATAAATAGCCTGCCACACATTAATGACAGTGTCAAGTGTCAAGGAAACAAAGTGTAGTTTCTTACGTTGTATTCATCTGGAATAAAGTATGTAAATAAACATGCTGCTGGAAGGTCATCACAGATCTTAGTATCTACTAAGAGGAAGAAGGACATTTTATAGTTCATGGCCTTTAGCTTTTTTTGAGTACAGACTTTTTATAAATGGACTTGAATATGTAGAATGGTAAACAAAGGACAGAGCTTACCATTGTAGCATCCCTAAAGTCCTGTGATCTCTGGGCAATCTTTCTTCTTTCCTTCACCCATTAGAATTTATGTTATAGTATGACTGGAGGCCCTTTGCCAGGATGTTGCTGCCATGCTCTTTGGGCCCCTCAGCAAAGAGAACTGTGAAGAAAACCTAATATTAGGCATTGTTTTCAAAGACAGATTCTCAAAACCCAGAATTTTAATAACTCGCAGTTTCTAGAAAAGTTCAGAAAAAGATTCAGAAAGTATGGAGAATGAAAGTACTTAGAAAAGTATTTGTCAAACTTGTGGATACAAGTGCTCAGAGAATATCTGCAGCCTTAAAATGATTTATTTTTAAAAGGGCCAACATTTATAATAGATGAGGTAAGCATCTCACTTAAAAAAATAGAGGAAGGGAAGAGTAAACTTGGACTCATTTGAAGAAATGAAATTAATGAAGACCAGTAATTCCTAATTCAAAATTCCATGAGCAAACACAACAGTGCCTCACCCAGATGGCAGAGCAAAGGAGGAATTCCACCAATGAGTTATTGTGCTTACCCACCTTGTGTGAGGGGGTTACTCAGAGGAGTGTGGGTGACCTCCAAAGAGCTGCATCCCTACAAAGTTCTACCTCATCATGGATGACGACCCCATGGAAGCCATTAGAATTACATGTGCAGTTAACCTTCCATTCCCTGTGTTCTCCCTCAGCACCACTTGCATCTAAGGCCTAGGGAAGCATAAGGCAAAGTGAATAATAGCTGAAGATAGCATTTTCTTTTCTTATTTTTGTTTGTCTATATAGTTTCAAAGCCCACAACATTTCTTAAGCAAAATGTTATTGCTATATTGTTTTAAAATGCCAGTCATGAGTGACATGCATGGAGGGCCCCAGGGAGGGGAAATAGTTAAGATCTCTTGGGTAATCTGGGAGGGGGGTAAAAGGGAGGGGATGGGGGATGAGAATATGAGGGATTGAGATGGGATAGTGGGGGAGGGTTGGAGAGGGAGAAGCAATGAAAGAGATAGCGTGATAGAGGGAGTATTATGGGGTTAGGGAGAAACCTGGTGCTAGGGAAATTCCCAGGCATTCCCCAAGGATAACCCCAGTTAAGATTCCTAGCAATGGTGGAGAGGCTGCCTGAACTGACCTTCTCCTATAATCAGATTAGTGACTACCCTAATTGTCATCATATTACCTACATCCTATAACTGACAGAAGCAACACAGTGATCCACACCCAGACATTAAACTGAGCTCCAGCAGTTCAAGTTGAAGAGAGGGAGGAGGGATCGTATGAGCAACTGTGGGGGGGTCAAGATCATGATGGGAAAAACCAGAGACAGCTGAACCGAGCTAGTGGGAGCTCACAGAATCTGGACTGTCAGAGGGGAACCTGCACGGGACAAAACTAGGCCCTCTGAATGTGGTGACAATTATATGGCTTGATCTTTTTGGGAGGTCCCTGGCAGTGCGACCAGGACTTATCCTGAGTGCATGGACTCGCTTTTTGGAGCTCCTTTCCTATGGTGGGATACATTGCTCAACCTTGATGCAGAGGGGAGGGACTTGTTCCTGCCTCAATTTGGTGTGCCAGACTTTTATAGGGACCAGGTGGACCAGGGACTTGTCCATAAGGGCGTGGTGTAGGAAAGCGAAGGTGACGTAAGGGAAGCTTCTTAAGACCGCTCGTGGAGACCCGACCCCCTTTTTCTGGCTGCGCTTGCTGGGGTTCCTGTAACCTCGCTGCCGGGCGCGAGGCGAACGCCTGTAGTCCCAGTTACTTGGGAGGCTGAGACAGGAGGATCGCTTGTGTCCAGGAGTTCTGGGCTGTAGTGCTCTATGCGGATCGGGTGTCTGCACTAAGTTCGGCATCAATATGGTGACCTCCCAGGAGCGGGGAGCCACCAGGTTGCCTAAGGAAGGGGTGAACCCGCCCAGGTCCTAGCGAGGTTACAGGAACCCAGCAAGCGCAGCCAGAAAAAGGGGGTCAGGTCTCCACCAGCGGTCTTAAGAAGCTTCCCTTACGTCACCTTCGCTTTCCTACACCACGCCCTTATGGACAAGTTCTGGGTCCACCTGGTACCTGTCCCAGGGCGGGGCTAGGGTGTCTCCCTATAGACTTTGTTGACTCCCCAAGGGTTAGGGAGCCTTGCCTACTCTGAGGAGTGGATGGGGATGGGGTGGAATGGGGGAGGTAGAGGGCAGGAGAAGTGAAGGGAGGGGAAACTGGAGTTGGTATGTAAAGTGGAAAAAAAATTAAAGAAAAAAATGCCAGTCATGAAACTACCACTTTAAAAAAAATAAAAAGAATTTAATTGAGGAGTAAACAAATAAGGACAAATAACATTTCCTTATCCTGTCTTTTGCAGTCACTTGGGTGTAGACATGAAACCCCAGGGCTCTGCATCCTAGGGAATTACTCTACTTTTTCAAAGGAATTTTATGTGGTCTGGTGGAAACACACCTGCATCTGCTGCCAAAGCCCCCAAAGAAGAGCCTGCGACAGCATTCTGCAGTTTGATTTTTTGATTCTAGTGCTGTTGGTTCTTAAACTACAGTGTAGCTATTACTTCCTTCATGAATGCCTCAAAGATGGGCACATTAGAAACAGAGAACAACATTTACAATTCAGTGACATTTCATCACACCAAAATGATTACCAAGTCTGTCCAAACACACACTTCACTTCTCTTCACCAAAGGATGGGGATTAAGTTAAAATCCACCACATTTCAAGTTAAATTCTGAAAGTTATGTACAGCTATAGCATGACTTTAAATGCCTACGCAATTCACTTTTTCTGTATTTTCCTATATTTACCCTAAATTGTTATGCCAGGTCCACAAGACCGTGGGAGACCACCGTTTGGAGCCAACATTCCAGAATCCAATCGCAAGGTATCTTTATTCAAGCCTTAGGCAGGGACCTCGTCCTGCAGACTGATGAAGCAGCTGCAGGAGAAAGGTCCCAAGCCTCAC